TGGGTGCCATAAAGGCACCTGGATATATGAGCCAGCATCCTGGCATCCGAAGCGACAGGAGTATGCAACCTGGCACAATGACTAGCTAAAAAACACGAATAGCCTTTCCCACTTATTATCTTGAGTGCTCTGTCGAAGCAAACCAAGGATTAGCCGTCGAGGCATGGAATCAGGTATGTCGGGCTATTTTCAAAGCTAAGGCTATTCCATGAAGGATAGCGAGGCCTATATAGCCTTGGCTGTTTTTTTGGGTATGCGGAGAAATCCAGGGAGCTGCGGATATCAATCGACGCTCAAGCGAGACAGAAATGAGGGAGATTTTGTGGGTCGGTCTGTATCTGGGGCACCAGAGGTCGTATGCGGCCAAATCATACGACTGCACCCCTGAGCCTACCGTTGGCAAACGGTCCCACACACAGCTAGTGGCAGTCGTCGTTGCGTCGCGGGAGGACGTCAGTCACAACGCAACAGCGACAGAAGCAAAAGAGAGCTGTGGTAAACAAAATGCGACGTGCACGCCCGATAGGGCAATTAAGCACGGAAAGTTGAGAGGGAACTTTGAATGGAACCTCGCGTCGTGTCGCCTCGGAAAGCGCATGAGACCTGGGATGGAACCTGAAAGCCTGGCTGCCGAGACGCAAACCCTCGTACTGCTGCAAGCACTCGACGGCGCATACCACAAGTGCTAACAACCAAGGGCTTCGAGAGATGTCCGGGGATGTTGCCCGGGCCAAGCAAGTCAGCAAGCGGCCTCCGCGTCCAGAGACCTATGTGGTACCCTATAGTGTCGTCGTCACATCTTGTTAGGTCCTCCAGCTACCACGACGGGTCCAGGAGCAACCAGTGGAGCGGCAGCCTCCAAGGCTGACGCGTCGTCGGGCGGCCTGTAGCTGTCATCCGCGACCCAGGAGCAGCGCCGGATGAGTTGTACTAAAGTCGGTCGGTTTTCGCGGGCCGAAGACCTAAATGTCCCTCAGAAACAACGCAAGTGCACTACTGTCTTTGCCGCAAGCCTGAGGCCCAGTGCCCAGTAGAAGGCGGAAAGTAGTTAGCTCAAAGCATTGCGGGGGGTCGGGCAGCAAGAGCCGCCAGAGACCCAGCGGGGCCCGTGTGGGTTGGTCTGCTTCTGGCGCGCCAGTAGTCACACGTGGCCAACTCGTGTGACAGCACCCCTGAGCCTACCCAGCAGAGGCCCCACACACAGCTCGGGGCCTGCACCAATGCGGCCTGCGCCAATGCAAACAGCATCTGGCGCTCTTCTTTAACACGACGCGATGCTGCTGAAGCACCCGGACGAGGGTGGCTAGCCTCCCCCAACCCGTGTCCCGAGCAATGGATTCCAAGACTACTTTCGGGCGCACCGGACACCCACAATCCCGCACGCCCTGATCGTCCCCATGTACGTGTTCGTACTTGTCCAGCCAGCTGAGCGCAGCAATGACACGCTCGTGCCAGCGTGGAGGCAAGCACTCGGTCCTCCTGATTTTCCTTTTCAAGCCGTTTTCTATAGTATCTATAGGGTATGCTTCTATAGGGGTTCTAAACAATCCTATAAGGTATTCTACAGGTATTCTATATGGCATATGTAGGTATCATATATAGGCGGTCTTCTGTAAGGTATTCTACAGGGTACTCCAGATGGTGTTCTATGATTTATATATCGGGGGAACTGTGTAAAAGTTTTCTTTAAGGTAGTCTAAAACGATTCTTTCGGTCATTCCACAGGGTCGTGTAGAAGGTATTCTATAGGGTATGTACAGGGGGTATTTTGCAAGGTATTCTGCTCCCTATATTAACCCCGTACTGAAATAAGCTTCGATGTGTTCAAGGAGTTCCGAGATCCTAGATTCCGCACCGCGGCCCGCCAAACGGACCATTCGGTCCAACTCTCCTTTCCTGCCCCGCAACAGTAGATAACTCGGAAGTAGCATATTTTTATATTTATATGTATACTGTATATGCACCTAGATATTTCTACGCCACACGCGCGCACGCGCGTGACAGCGACGGCGCTTGTTTATATATTGGCATGCTTGTTTGCATCCTTGGTTGCGCGATCGCTTGTGTGCTTGTGTCCATGTCATCAGCTAGCAGGTGATTCGTCGGATAATCTGGCATTCTGGTCGCACGGCGAAGCTTAGGCGTGCACGTTGTCAGGCGACCGACACATCAGTGCCATGCCATGCTCCCATATCCGTCCATTCATGCGCAGCAGCAGCCATTGCCGCACACGCTTGCACTCCTGAGCTCAGATAAACCACCATGAATCAGAAGCAGCACGTAAGATCTGAACCCTCGAGCAAAGCTACTTTAGCATGCTGTGCATTGTGCCTCGTCGTTCTCTTTGCAGATCTTGTCCTGGATGAACTTCTTGGCCTTGGAAGGAAGCGCTGGCAGGTTGCTGCGGTGCCAGTGCTGCAATATGCGAACTTTGCCTGCAAATCGCGAAGGCCTGCCAAGAGTTCTGTACACAATGTACTCTGTGTGCCAAACACCTGCGCGGTGCAATCCGGTAACCTGAGTGGCATTTGCCCGGCTAAGACGAAGGTGACGAGGTGACCAGTTCGATGGCCCAGCGTGGCTATGTTGGCAATGCATGACAGCCAGAGCGGCCAGGAAGCGAGCCACTCGTCCAGCACCTGTCAGCCAACACTTCAGTTCAACTCCTCGCACAGCTCAGTGACGGCAGGTAACTACATTGCCCTGTCAGCCGGTTCCCGCCTTCTCAACAGCGGAGAGCACACGGGCTGCACTGGTCGAAGTCTCGGATGCCTCAGCAAAACTGAGAGGGTGGTGGAGCCCCAAGCCCGCCGAGTGTTTCCGCGTGCCCCTTTGTACATAGCGCAGCCTCCTCCTCTGCAGGGTCACCCTGCGCCATGGCGCCACGCAGGAGCGGAGGGTCAGAGGTTCAGTTCGGATGCCTTGGAGGAAAATCTTTTCAAGTGTCAAGACTAAGCCTGGGGGCCCTCGTGCTGGAATAGGGCCTCGATCGCCTTGCATTCCTCATGCTGTCGCCGCTGGGGAGCCGAAGGAAGGCGGCGACCCCCTTTCTACCGGACCCGAAAAGATTTCTGAGGTCGGCCAAGTATCTCAAGCTGAAATGCTTCAAAGACGGTCAATCCAGCCTGAATCGCTTCCAGTGCGGATACTCATATCCGTACAGAAGGAGATGATCGTACCCGGCGTTCCTGGAGAGGTACCTGCACGCCACATTCTGCAAAACGACATCTTACAACAAACAAGGAAACAAACGAACAAATCAGCAAGACTTCTGGCCTTGACTGCTCGAGTATGGTCACAACGTCTCGCACACATTGAAGATGGCTCGCCTACACGTTGCTGTCAACAAGTGCTGCAGAACACTCGTCAGGACTCCACTGAAGTTGCTTCGCCCAACCCAGCTGGGACTTCGAGCGCACAAGCACTTTCCAAGCATGGGGCGTTGGGCTCAGGTGTTCGCTGGTCCAACCAGAAGAGTACGGGGAAGTATGCCGGAACCTCGAAGGCATAAACCGCTTGCCAACTCACCTGGGACTGTACGCCTTCCGCTCTAGTCTAGCCGGTCTCTCTGGGGCCTTGTCACTTAACGAACTGCCCGACGGATGGCTCAGGCCTGAACCCAGAAGAGTGATGCCGCCTAGACACGGTCATGCAGCAACATCTAGCCACAGCCAGTCCTCGCTTTTTCCTCTCACCAGCCGCAGCCCCACGCGCAAAGCGGAAGTTAAACTCTCAAGCGCCGGCCAGACTTCTGGAATCCACCGGGGAATCGAGGTTCCTGCCTCTGGTCTGTCCACCCGATGATATCGATCAAGATGCTCCTGCCAGAAGCCGCCCGACTGAGGCGTGGATCTTCGGATCTCTTTCGCACAGTATTGACCGTCATGCAGTTCTTTCTCTGTCCTCGATCGATACAATCTGCTTCAACATTCCTCTAACATGAAGCTCTTCCTGGCGCTGGCATGACTTCGGCAAAAACTCGACATGAATGGCGGGCTGACAATCATGCTGGGGCTGCACTCTCGCGAAGCCCGGACGTCGGCGAGGACAATGCCTCAATTGCCTTCATGACACTTGGCCCTTTGACATGCGTCTTACAGCTGCTGCGCGATGATGGGACAGACGGAGGGGCCTAAGCGCGCTAATGAAAGTCTGCTGACAGGCACAATCAAGTCTGGAAGTTCAATGATTGGAGGTCAGTCAACTGTAGTATGGCTTGTCTGGTGCGGACTGCAATGGTCATGCTGTGTGCCTCGTTCCGGGCGCAGCTGGGCACATCGTAGGCGTATATGGCGGGAGCCCTTGTTCGCAGGAAAAGCGATGAGCACAGACAGAAAGACAGCATTAACTTGCATGAAGACTTCTTTCGAGCCAGTCAGGCCTTGTCATCGCATCAGGTGGCTTTGGAGATAAGATCGCACATGAAGGCTCCGGCAATGGATTGCCGCGTATTCCCGCCTCTCCGGACTCCGGGCGAGGCATTTATTAATCAACTTGGGATCAACACCCGATGATCGAAAGCAACCAAAATTTTAATTTTTCTCAACAGAAATCTAAATCTTCAACAAAAACTAAGACAGTTCGAGGTGGTCGATGGCTTGCCTTGGTTACGAAGACTTCCTCTTTCCTTTTATTTCACCACAAGAGTAGAGCAGGTAGAGCAGGCTTGGCTTGGCAGGGATTTCGCTAGGCTCTTCCTTTGTACCAAGCTGCTGCAAAGTGCAATAGCTATTGAGGGGTACAGTCAGTCCTCAAGGTCGTTTTTGCATGAAGATTGCAATTTTCAAGGTGCTGTCTTGCATCAAGCCATGGGCGAATTACAATTGGTAATTAGAACGAGGCTTCGGAATTACAAGCTACCGTGTCATTCTTGCGCCAGTGACTAGCGCAAGAATGACCCTGTAGCTTGTAATTCCGCCGCTAGTGCAAGACACCGACCCCAAAGAACTGGAAGCCATGAGCCAGTGCCTTGCATTGCGCAAACAGACCATCAATGGCGCGCCCAACATTGCAGAAAAGATGCGCATTCGCAGATTGTAAATTGTATGCTGCTCTGCTGTTGCTGCAGACACTCAAGCTAGCGACTCAGCCTGGGATGCGGCAAAGCACGAAAGCTTGGCAAAGTCAGTGACTTGGGGTTCAGTCTACAGCAACAAGGAGCGTCGTTCACAGCGAGGCGGAGTGTCGTTCAGCACCAAGCCGCAAGCATGTCCATTGACACGTGGTGTGCTGGCCTTGATGCCAGGTGCCAGTAATGTACAGCGGGTCGACAAGGCTGCCAATGATGAAGCGCCACCCTCTTTTGAGACTAAACAGATGCAAGTATGGCCAACTTTCATTGGCAGCCAGTGAGCCAAGCTGGAGATTGGACTTCGCTGTCCATTCAGACGGTGCTGCTATGCTTCGCCGTTCTGTGAGCAAGTCTCACTTGAAGACAGGGCGGACGGTGTGCTGAAGGGCAACGGCTACGGACTTACAAGAGCCTGCCACTTCAATCTTGCACATGGCTTCAGGCACACCAGTAAAGAAAGAGCCTCCTCCTAACAGCTCTTGCATCTCTCACTCAGACTTGCAACGAATTGCAAAGGCTCAGTCGCTACTTTCACCCCCAAGTCCTACAAGGTACTTGCTGGACAAAGCTCATAACCACCCATCAGCTGCAAATGCACATCTCAGGCCCCTTGGGTTGGGACACATGTAGCATCTTTAACACTATCCAAAGATTTACAATCAGTCCCCTTGCTGGTCGGCTTTCGTGGCCGGATGCTAAAAATTCCGGGCATGGATTCCAACTCCTCACCTGCTCCGTTCTTGTGCGTTCTTGCAACTTCTAACAAGATCCACAAGCATGCGTGACATCCGTTGAAGACTCGCGGCAAAAGAAGTCAGAGCTAACCGCTCGAACGGCGATGGCGTCGGATTCTGCGAGTGGCTCTCCCAAGCCTCGAGCTGCCTCCATCCTTCGGCTGTGTAACTGTAAAACCCCAGTAAAACACCTCAGTATTGCTCGGATGGGCTGCAAAGAGACAGGACAGCCTGAAAAGAACGCATGCAAACAAGGCCAAGGGAGGGCGTAGAGTCAGATGCATCCCACCTTTGTTCCCCCGATGTCTTGCCCCCTCTGGCCGAATGAATTAACAAATGTAGGCACGTGTTGGGCCAGGTGAGTCAAGTAAACGACTTCCGTGATTATGACTCTGCGACGTTCTCAAGGTGCATTCTCTCACCTTACCCAACAAGGCTGCTGCGTCCTCGTGCAGTATTCTCCTGTCCTAACCGCAGAGGCCTCCGCAGCGCCAGGTCCGATGATGCGCCACCTGGACTCTTGATGCCTGTTCGGACCTGTAGCTGGGCTTTCCAATTTCGACTTTAAACAAGTAGCCTCCTGCTGGGCCAAGGTCCACCCGTTGCCTGAAGATTCCTATGGTCCTATGGGTCATGCTGAGTCATTCTTCATGACACACGACTATCCGTGGCATAGGCAGCAGACTTTCTTGCGCCCGCAGGCCTGCTGATAAGTTACAAAGGACGCATCTGCACAAGCGAGGGCCCTGAAGGCCTCGCAGCTCTTCGAAGGTCCTCCAAAGCTCAGGGTCTAGGGACGCTTTCCCTTCCGTCGTGTTGAGCTGGCGGGTCCATGCGTAAAGTCGACGGATCGCGACATCGCATTGAGAACACTGAGGCCAGAGTTCGAACCAGCGGAGGTCGAGCCGCCGCTGGGACCAGAGGAAGTAGGCTCTTCGTTGGGGTTGGTCTGCGACGAGGAGGACGGTGTTCTCATGCTGTGCGGATCCCGTCGCCTGAGCTAAGCAACAAGAGCTCAAACCCCGAAGTGAATCTGCTGCCAGCTGGCGGGATGACGGGCCCATTGTCATTCATGCCGATCGCTTCACGAAAGGGGAGCGTTCCTGGCCAAGACGTGTTGGTCAACGCTTGGAGGTCTCAAGTTGTGCAGTAGAACAAGTCTCCCCGCAGAATTCAGAAGAACTTACAGCAGGTGGACTTCTGATATCCCAAAAGCATCCAACAAGAGCTGTGCACAGCAATCTTGGCAAGACTCCGGTTTAATCTGATTGTCCACCCAATGCATTCTGCATCTGCAGACCGTGGCACACTTCTTATGCCCATCTGCTATCAGACACTACGACAATATGCCTTATGCAGTCACAAACACATGTTCTCATTTCCATAAAACGGTTTTTGCTGCCTGTGGTTCCGGGGCTCTGGATATCCAGTCGCCGTGGCAGACGATCCCTTCCCAGCTCCACCCGGCTCATCTCGTGCCTGCGGTACAGAAGCTGATGCGGCCTATGTGCTCTTCGTCCCGCGGAGGGTTTCTTTAATCATGGAAGCAATGCTGAAAATCCTCATGCTCTTTCGCTTGGCCGCCCTTACTTGCTGGCAGGATGCTTGATGTTCTCCCACATCGCGCTCATCGTCTGAATGTCTTTCGCCTGCAGGATACGCATGAGAGAGGGAGAGAGAGAGTGCAAAATTCCACTATACAATCCAGACAGCGAGAGCAATCTAACACGAGATCAATCCCTTTCCACAATCACACAATCACGAACACTTCTTTATGCAACCAGGCAGTCCGTCCAGTCGGTCTTGAGCCAATGCCATTC